CTTGTATGTATTTATGTATGTTTGTTTGACTTTGCAAAGCTCAAAACGGAACGTTTTGTATTTTATTTTCTCGTTCTACAAGCGTCGTTCAGTGGTGCTGTCGGATGAGAATTTGTAATATTTAGAAGTAGAAAGTTGAGCTCATGTGCAGTGTAGCCTTGTAGGTCGAGGAAAATTGTCTTGTGGTATTATGATGTCTACACCTCTCTTGTCTCTACTGATGTCTGTACCTCTCTTGCCTCTAGTAGGCAAAAATGTTCATTGCAACACCCCTGAATTGAGAACTCTATTTGAGATACTTAATAGTGACGATGTAGTGTTATTTGAGTGGTGCTGTGATTTAGTAACTCATTTTAATGTTGCTAGACCTTGTGAGCGCTAATCAATCATTATCTCGTTCAAGTCTGTTCTGTTCTCGTTACCAAATTTGATTGAAAGCTGGATCATCCGACACGCTGCTACACGTAGCTCCTGGGAATCTAAACATGTTGCAAGTGATCTGGCGGCATGTTGCTCTCCTCAAATCTGTCTTTGTTATCACATGCGGGTGCACGGAAGTATGCGCCAAACAAAATTTGTACTATTATACTTGTCTATTGCCCGCTGTCCGCAAGTTTTACATACACGCATTGGCCGCCTTCCGCATGGATTTCACATAGTGTGTGTCTACTATTGTTGTTGCGAACCCATGCGCAGATGTTTTCCTGGACCTGTGTGCTATAAATATTTTAAGCTTTTACCGCTTCATCCGCTTAGGCTCGATGAGGACTCTGTGTTTGTTGATGGCGTCGGTGCAAAGCCGCGAGGTGTGGAGTTCTACCCTAAAGACATGACCAAACAAGAATTCAATACATGGGTAAGTACGCTCAGCGAAGACGACAAGGCCCGGGCCAGGGGCTATTATACTGTCATACGCCGCGATCCTACGACAAGAGATCTCACTATGGGTATGCGCCTGATTATAGATCAACAGATAGATACTAAAACTGAAGCTTCCATGTGTTTGCTGAACAGTCGGAGCAATGCAGTTTGGGCGTTTGGTAGTACATCTGGCCGGCGACGGACGTGAGTGTCTTCGCATGCCTAGTGACAATACTATTCATGTAGTATTTCTGAGCTTCATCCGATACTACGATGAATGCACGCAATATTGTACTCACTCTAAGTACAACTATGACTTTCTGTTCTTTCTACATAGTCGATTACAACGTGGAGTACGCCCAATTCTTGCAGCCAGCCGCGGCATTGTTACGGCAGGCCAGTAATATGGTAAGCAATAAGCAATTGGCCAACTTCCTGAAGCTTCGCGCCGACTCCTTTGAGTCCAATGACTATTTTGGTATGGTTATTTGCAGTCAAAACGAAATCTTAACTGACGGGTTGGTATACTTTCGATTGCGTGTCTCCCCTGTCTCGCCCCACTTACTTTGGATACTGGGAAATAGTTAGCACAAACCTTTGATCGTTGATCAGACAGTACTGAGATTTTAATGCCGAGACAAACGGTTCTTTATTCCATTCACGCGCAAACTAAATCAGTTCCGCTCTGTGTTTGAATTACAGAGAGCGAATGTGCATGGCTGGATGTGCCCACCGACTCCGCAATAGAGGTGACAATCGGCCCTTATGAGGTGTATGAAGATGCGCTGTTCGGGTACAAAGCTGCTTTTGAAGCGTATATCAGTGTGTCGGATCCGGCGGGCACCGAAAAACTGAAGAAGTTCAGTAAGTGCAAAATCTAGTATTACGTCATTGTTCACTGAAAAAGGTAGCATGATATGAATTGTCGCGATTATCATCTTCGCCCATACCCGCCATTCGGAAGTAGGTGTGAATGTGTGGCATTTTTATAATCCATAAGCCTATTCAGTTAAAGTTGCGATTGTATTAAGTACCTCGCTTAAACATTCAATGCACTCAGGTTTCAGGATGAGTGAGCTTGAGGCCAATCTACCTATCAAAGAGGAATACAAGAACAAAGCTTTAGTGGGGGTACAGCCCATTATTGTGGTCAATCAGGTATTCGTGGGTGGCGATCGCGGCGGGGCAGCCACGGCTGCTTACAATTTGCCCAACAACGAACAGGTATCAGACGTGGAGTTGAACGCAATATTACAAACCATTATACTAACCCAATTTTTAAGCGATGGAGTACGATAGACTCGCTATCCTGAAGCTTATAGTAGACTCATTGGAATATATCTTCTCTCCTGTCGCTCAATGCAATCAGGTGATTGCCAAGAAGGGGAGCAAGATGATTATCCTGAAGAATGTACAGCAGCGAAAATTCAACCGTATACTGAAGGTAAGGGTTTTTCCCGGTAGAATATGTCGTTTTACCCTGTTTATGTAGTAGAATTCAAACAACGGATACCTTACTTGCTTCAACACTTGCTTCAACTGACACATTTATGTCCTGATACCATGTGTGGCCCATCAGGACTCGGAATTTCGTATATTAACCACAAAAAGAACCCTCAAGAGTCATCCGACTTCCGTCATAGAAAGTCTCAAGCATTCCTATTATATCTCCAGGACATTGCAAACGTGGTTATCGCAGATGACCAGCTACAGTATGTCACCTTCGATGCTTTCTTCACCCATATTTTGGCCCATGAGGTATGTCTGAGCTCCTACAAATAGTCTGAGTTCTTACGAATACATCCATGCCGCTTTTAGCTATGAGATTAGGATAATCGTTCTAAAAACTAATCCTAATTACTCCGCACGCCCCTGCCGGACTACCAATTGACCTTTCAGATATTTATACGGGACCGCTGTCTAATCGAGATTACCTTGCACACTTCTCTTATGTCTAACAGATGTGTCACGGTATCGGGCCCCACACCATCACTCTCGATGATGGCACAACTTCCACGGTGGGAAGGCAATTGGAAAATCATCACAGTGCGCTGGAAGAATCTAAAGCTGACGTTGCAGGTTGCCGACTGTTTCTTTGATGTCTTTATGTAGCATACTGATATTGTCGTGCCTGCTACTTCAAAAACAACAAATACTGATCTCTTCAAATGTTTGTCATGCTCGTCACTATCTTACCTTCAGTGTTTTTCTAATATCTAGGTATTTGGGCGCTAAGATACTTGATTGATAAAGGCTACATTTCTGCTGAATTGGAGAGAGCCTTCTATGTTACATTTCTGGCTTCCACTTTCCGATCAATAAGGCATGACATCAAATTTGTCGGATCTCGAACCAGTACCTGCTTTTATGTTTGCTTGATGTGTCCGAGTTCTGCTGGGAGCGGCAAGTTGACCGTCTTCACCACTAAATCTCCCACAAAACATCTCGGACACTCCGGCTAGTGTTATATCTGCACAGCATGCCGAACTGTGAAGTTGATTCAGTCCTGTTGACGTATTACTGCCTGCTGTTAACATTTTTCTTTTGAAATAATGCAATAATAATCAGATTCGGTTTGAACGAGGCGCACGGAAAGGGTCAAGCCTTGCAGTTGATTTATATGCTCCGCGAGGGTGGTTTCAAATATGACGAACAGACAATGAAGTTCAGTGTAAATTTCGATACTGTGAAGCAGAAGTTCACGGTATGTAAGGCTACAGGCAATATCAGTTATCCTTACAGTCCAGCTTTTTAAAAAACAGTTTAATGTTTTATTATTTTATTTTGTGGAACTATATACTTGTGGAACGGTATTTGAAGTATACTCAATAAAAAGAATAAAATGAGCTCCTTAAGTATCCGTCGGGTTGTATGCAATAGCGTATAAAACCACAGCTAGAGACACTTATATTGCAAATTGCGCCAGAGTTTTAAGTTTGACTGAATATTTGCTCGGATTTCGTACATGTTTTTACCCTGCATGTAGGATCTGACTCGGCTAATCATGGAAACTCAGGCCAAGGGGAACAAGGCGGCCGCAAAGACATTACTGGACGAATATGTAGTTCTGACTGACCCGGTGAAGACCGCCCTGGCCAACATAACAGCGACAGGAGTGCCTGTAGATATCGAACCTGTTCGTCTGATGTGATAATTGGATAAAATCTTTTCAGCCAATGTAACTTGTAGATATTTATATATGTGTGTGTGTACATATTTGTATATATTTGTGTTTATATATATATATATATATATATATATATAATAAATATATATATATATATATATATATATATATATATATATATATATATATATATATATATATATATATATAT